TGTCTTAGTCAGTAAGGGGTAAAATACATTTTGTGCAGGATTTTGAGCTTTTTTAAAAAGTCTCTAATAGTGCCAAGTAGGTGAAAATATAATTAAAAATACACAGTTAAACAAAGCAAGAAAATCATAAGCAAAGTATAATTCTAAAATATATAGAAAAGAAAGGAGGCTGAATTTGACGCCTGGTTATCTTGCCAATCATGATTATATACGGTATATTGGAAATTAACTGCTAAAAAAATAAGCAGTTAGCTGTGATAGTTTGCCTTATGAAATACATACCTTTTATATGAACGCATTACAACTGTGTCTTTTCTTACCTAAAGATTTAAGTATAAATGCAATTTAATTACAAAACTTCTTTCTATGGTAAAAGGGTATTAAAATATTAATATCAACAATTGCTAGAAAATAAATAGAAGCCTACATGCACAAACTGAGGGGTATGTGTATTAATGCTATCTCATCTTTCTAATGCTCATCTTCATGGAAAACTTTGGGTACAGTACACTTTAATTCAGTACATCCAACCAAGCTCTGCACATTTGGGGACAGGGACACAGGTGGTTATTTACTAAAACTGGAGAGTGCACAATCTATTGCAGGGGTGGGCAAACTTTTTGACTTGAGGGCCGCAATGGGTTCATATATTGGACCCGGGGGCCGGACCAAGAGTAGATGAATGATGTGTATGTGTCATCCATAGTAAGTATAGTAATATTCCCCCATACTAAGCATAGTAATTAATCCCCCATATAGTAATTCATCCCCCATAGTAATTCATCCCCCATAGTAATACATCCCCCATATAGTAATTCATCCCCCATATAGTAATTCATCCCCCATAGTAATTCATCCCCCATATAGTAATTCATCCCCCATATAGTAATTCATCCCCCATAGTAATTCATCCCCCATATAGTAATTCATCCCCCATAGTAATTCATCCCCCATATAGTAATTCATCCCCCATAGTAATTCATCCCCCATATAGTAATTCATCCCCCATAGTAATTTATCCCCCATATAGTAATTCATCCCCCATAGTAATTCATCCCCCATATAGTAATTCATCCCCCATATAGTAATTCATCCCCCATAGTAATTCATCCCCCATATAGTAATTCATCCCCCATATAGTAATTCATCCCCCATAGTAATTCATCCCCCATAGTAATTCATCCCCCATATAGTAATTCATCCCCCATATAGTAATTCATCCCCCATAGTAATTCATCCCCCATAGTAATACATCCCCCATATAGTAATTCATCCCCCATAGTAATTCATCCCCCATAGTTATTCATCCCCCATATAGTAATTCATCCCCCATATAGTAATTCATCCCCCATAGTAATTCATCCCCCATATAGTAATTCATCCCCCATATAGTAATTCATCCCCCATAGTAATTCATCCCCCATATAGTAATTCATCCCCCATAGTAATTCATCCCCCATATAGTAATTCATCCCCCATAGTAATTCATCCCCCATATAGTAATTCATCCCCCATAGTAATGTCATCCCCCATAGTAATTCATCCCTCATAGTAATTCATCCCCCATATAGTAATTCATCCCCCATATAGTAATTCATCCCCCATAGTAATTCATCCCCCATATAGTAATTCATCCCCCATATAGTAATTCATCCCCCATAGTAATTCATCCCCCATATAGTAATTCATCCCCCATATAGTAATTCATCCCCCATAGTAATTCATCCCCCATAGTAATTCATCCCCCATAGTAATTCATCCCCCATATAGTAATTCATCCCCCCCATAGTAATTCATCCCCCATAGTAATTCATCCCCCATATAGTAATTCATCCCCCATATAGTAATTCATCCCCCATATAGTAATTCATCCCCATATAGTAATTCATCCCCCATATAGTAATTCATCCCCCATATAGTAATTCATCCCCCATATAGTAATTCATCATCATCCCCCATATAGTAATTCATCCCCCATAGTAATTCATCCCCCAATAGTAATCATCCCCCATATAGTAATTCATCCCCCATAGTAATTCATCCCCCATATAGTAAAATCATCCCCATAGTAATTCATCCCCCATAGTAATTCATCCCCCATATAGTAATTCATCCCCCATAGTAATTCATCCCCCATATAGTAATTCATCCCTCATAGTAATTCATCCCCCATATAGTAATTCATCCCCCATATAGTAATTCATCCCCCATAGTAATTCATCCCCCATATAGTAATTCATCCCCCATAGTAATTCATCCCCCATATAGTAATTCATCCCCCATATAGTAATTCATCCCCCATAGTAATTCATCCCCCATAGTAATTCATCCCCCATAGTAATTCATCCCCCATATAGTAATTCATTCCCCATATAATTCATCCCCCATATTAATTCATCCCTAATATAGTATTTCATCCCCCACAGTACTATTCCCCCCCAAGTAGTAAGCCAAGTCCCCCCTGTGTCAATTCACTTACCTTTGCCCCGCGCGTTCCTCTCGCCGTGTTCCCACGCCGTTCCGGTCTTCAGGGCGGACTGTGAGAGGAGCCTAGCTCCCCTCACGTTCCTCACGCTGCCCCGCCTACACACATTCTGACAGCCGATGTTTGCCACGCTCCGCGGGCCGGATTAAAAGGTCCGCCGGGCCGTAAAAGGCCCGCCGGGCCGTAGTTTGCCCATTGCTGATCTATTGCAACATTTTTTTTTTCGTCAAAGCTTAACTGAACAAGCTGAAGTAAAAAGCTGATTGGCTACCATGCACAGCTGCACCAGATTCTGAGTTTACCGTTTTTAGTAAATCTCACCCACAGACAGTTCTGATTTCAACTTTGCTTCACTCCTATCCCTGTAATTCTAACTTATGTTCACCCTCACATTCAACCATGCACGTTAACTAAGCATATTTGGAATTTCTTAGAAAATATATTTCTAACAGCCTTATTTTCTAACTTGAACCTGCAATCACATGATTGTCAGTGACACCTTTTCCTGTCATGGTGGCTGCTTACTGCAACTGTTCTCCTTTAAGCAAGTGATCAATCACCTAGCCTCCCCCTTGTAATTGGAAAGTATGGGGTGTGACTTTGGAACATCAGTTTTGAAAGTTAACCCTACACTTTTTCTGGCCGTATCTCTTAGCCGCTTTAAAACCTGTGCCACGCTAACTTCTAACTGTCATTGTCATTAAGAGGGTGCACAGTCAATGTGCTAGTGAAACAGTTATTATTATTATTATTATTACTACGAGTTTATATAGCGCCAAAGGGTTTGCTCAGCGCTGTACAATAGGGAGGACAATACATGGCACAGTACAACAACAACAAACAACGTACGAGGGGTAAGAGGGCCCTACTCTTACGAGCTTACAATCTAGTTGAGTTGATTTAGTAAAGGCAAATAGACTGTGCACTCCACAATTGCAGCTGTAATGTGGTAATGCTTCACTTTGTAAAGAATACCCAATCAAGCGCAAGGAAAAAAAAAAGAATTGTTACTTGCACATGACTGGATGATGAAAATCAGCAGAGTTCTACCACATTTACTTAGCTCTGTGGAAAATTAGTGCAACTGCACTTGCAAAGTGTATAGTCTATGTACCTTTAGTAAATTCACCCCGATATGATCCTAATAATCTCCTATCTTTCAAAATAGAAAAAATTCTTTCTTGAAGTTAAATAGCTTCCTTGGATTTTTCTTTAGTTTGTTTAATGTTTGCCTGCTAATGTTTGCCCAACTCTAGTCTTTAATTTAGGGAATTTAATTTAGGTTCTTGCTAATGCTTATCCAGTTATAAACCTTCTTTTATAAGCCTTCCAACTGTAATTCCTCTTCATTAACAATTAAATTTCTTATACAAATTGTGATGAAGGACAGAGTCCCAAAACATGTTGTGTACTGAATCACAATTATAACACAGGTTTTAATTTGGTAGTGTGTCTCATCCATTGTATATATAACTCTTAGTATTTTGAATAGTTTGGTTATCAAACGTTATGTCTAAATTACGTGCTTAAATGTAGGATGTTTATGTTGCTAAGAAGGTTATTTGAATGTTTTTTCAGTTACATTATGGGCATATGGAATTGATTTTTTAAAGGGTAAATAGGCTGTTCATTTTACAAGGGAATTTTCCATTTGTTTAATGAGTGAGGTTACACTGCTGACTTCCATTATTCAATCATATGCAAGCAAATGTACAGCTATTTTTATTCTCTTGTGTGTGTGGATATTCTTTGCAAAATGAATTTTCACCACATTCACTAAACTTTGGGTAAATTCTTTTGCATGCTGAACAGCCTTTAGTGACATATTCCTATTGTTATTAAAAATGTAATTTGGTTGATTTACTTAACCACTTGCCTACCAGGCACTTATACCCCCTTATTTACCAGGCCAATTTTCAGCTTTCAGCGCTGCCGCACTTTGATTGACAATTGCGCGGTCATGCAACATTGTACCCATATGAAATTTTGATCATTTTCTTCTCACAAATAGAGTTTTCTTTTGGTGGTATTTAATCGCCACTGGGCGCTTTACTTTTTGCGCTATAAATAAAAAATTGCCAAAAATTTGAAAAAAAAAAAAAAAAAAGTTTCTTTGTTTCTATTATAAAATTTTTCAAACAGGTAATTTTTCTCCTTCGCTGATGTGCGTTGATGAGGCAGCACTGATGGACACTGATAGGCGGCACTGATGGGCACTGATAGGCAGCACTAAAGGGCACTGATAGGCAGTACTAATGAGGTGGCACGGATAGGCGGCACTGATAGACAGCACTAATGAGGTGTCATAGATAGGCGGCACTAATATGCAGCACTGATAGGCGGCACTGATAGGTGACACTGATGATGGGTACTGATAGACGGCACTGACTGGCATCACTGCTGGGCACTGACTGGCGGCACTGACTGGCACAACCGCTGGGCACTGACTGGTGGCACTAACTGGCAGCACTGCTGGGCTGCACTGGTGGGTGGCACTGGTGGGCAGCACTGGTGGGTGGGCACAGGTGGGTGGCAATGGTGGGCACAGGTGGGTGGGCACAGGTGGGTGGCACTGCTGGGCACAGGTAGGTGGCACTTCTGGGCACAGGTGTGTGAAATTGCAGAGTGGCACAGGTGGGTGCACTGCTGGCACAGGTGGGTGCACTGCTGGGCACAGGTGGGCAGAGCTAGTGGGCGCACTGCAGGGCACAGGTGGGCGGAACTTGCGGGTGGCTCTGCTGGGCACCGATCATCAGGGCACTGATCATCAGTGCCCTGATGATCGGTGCCGATCCCCGCTCTGACAACTGCCGGTTCTCGGCAGTACTTTCCTCACGATCTGACAGCGTGAGGAAAGTGCAGCCGAGAACCGGCACTTGCATTTCCCTCTGATCAGCGTGTCATTGGACACCGCTGATCAGGTGGTAAAAGGCCGCTGTGATTGTCCTTTTACCACATCACGTGATCAGCTGTGTCCGTAGGACACAGCGATCACGGAGATCGCCGGGTGCGCGCCCCCTGGGGCGCGCAGGAGAGCGCGTTCTGGGGGGACGTCATATGACGTCCACTCAGAACTGGCCGGCCGCAGTGCAGCCGTCATTCGGCTATCTGCGGTCGGCAACAAGTTAAGGCAAATAGGCTGTTCACTTACGTAGGGACCTTTCACTTTGCAGTTGAATTTTTCCCTAACTTAGTAAATGCACTGAAAATTTGCTTTTCAAGAATACCTCACCACATGCAAAGGAAAATGTAAAAAATAAACATTATTTTTGCTTGCACATTATTGGATGATGGAAGTCAGCAGGGTTTCACCTCACTAACCATTGCACATAAAAATTTCCTTACAACCAGATCAAGCCTATTTGACCCAAAGGGGTTTACTTACTAAAGGCAAACAAGCTGTTCTCATTGCAAGGGAATTTTTACTTTGCAAGAAATTAGCATTGCTGCAGCAGGAAGCAATTAATTTATTAGCAGTATTACAACTGCCACCAAATGACAACTTCCCAATGTGGAGGCCACAAGCATTTTTGATTACTAGGATGTAACTGGCCACACAGTGCCATTGGGTGCTAGGACCCAACAGCCAACAGGAACCTACAGACCAACAATCTTGAAAACCTGCTGGCTTGTTTAACCACTCGCCTACAGGGCACTTGTACCCCATTCCTGCCCAGGCCAATTTCTAGCTTTCAGCGCTGTCACACTTTGAATGACAATTGCGCGGTCATGCAACACTGTACCCATATGAAAATTTTATCATTTTGTGACAGATAGAGCTTTCTTTTGGTGGTATTTAATCACCTCTGGGTTTTTTATTTTTTCTTAAACAAACCAAAAACCACTGAAAATTTTGAAAACAAAATGTTTTTTCTTAGTTTTTGTTATAAAATTTTGTAAATAAGTGATTTTTCTCCTTCATTGATGGGCACTGATAGGCTACACTAATGGACACTGATAGGTGGCACTGATGGGCACTGATGAAGAGGCACTGGTAGGTGGCACTGATGGGCATTGACAGGCATCACTGATGGGCACTGAAAGGCAGCACTGATACATGGCACTGATATATGGCACTGATAGGCACTGGCACTGACTGACTGGCACTAATAGGCGGCACTGACAGGCGGCACTGACTGGCCCTGTTAGGTTGCACTGACTGGCACTGTTAGGCGGCACTGATAGGCGGCACTGACTGGCACTGATATGCGGCACTGACTGGCACTGATAGGTGGCACTGATTGGCAGCACTGATAGGTGGCACTGATTGGCATTGATAGGTGGCACTGACTGGCACTGATGGGTAACACTGAAAGGCAGCTCAGATGGGCACTGATATGTGGCATTGGTGTGCACTGATATGTGGCATTGATGTGGCACTGATGGGCACTGGCACGAGGCACTGACATAAGGCACTGATGGACACTGACAGGTGGCACTGCTGGGGCCACACTGATTATCAGGGCACACTGATCATCAGTGCCCTGATGATCAGTGTACATGTCCCCTCCGCGGAAAGCCGCTTACCGGCTCTCCTCTCCTTTCGAGCTGTCAGCGTGACAGCTCGAGAGGAGAGAAATGCCGATAACCGGCATTTCCGTGTTTACATGTGATCAGCTGTGATTGGACACAGCTGATCACATGACCGAGCTGACATCTTCGGCTCTTTCCGTGATCGGTGATCTGCTGTGTCTGAGGGACACAGTGCACCATCGATCGCTGCGCTGCGTGCTCCATGAGCTGCACATGCGCAGTGAGAATGGGAGGACGTCATATGACGTCCTCCCAGAACGACAGAACCCCCTTGCGTTCGTCATATTACTATATGGCGGGCGGGAGGTGGTTAAGATATAAAAAATTGTGATCATTGTACGTGGGTTGTCATGTTTGTGTACATGGGGTGTCATTTATCATGATTGATGCTGATTCTGCATCTCTAGATCACGTGATTTTGATGGATTTACACTGTGGGATATGGCTTTTTTGTGTTTTTTGTCAAGGGGTGTTTATGCACATTCAACTTTTTTGTCAATGAGTTACAAGGGATAATATGTACCCCTGACTAATCCAAGCAATTTTTTCTTAGCAACTAGCCTGCATGTTTGGATAAGGTCTGTTACGCATTATGGAGGGATGCCATTTTTTATTTTTTGCTGACTAAAAGTGAACATTTATGGTCACAATCATGCAGGTATATGTGGTTAATAATGCTGTCTGGGATCCCCCTGCCTCTTTGTTTAAAAACAGAAGCAGGCCAAGGTTTGGAATTGTAATTTAGCAGCAAATATACACTATATTGCCAAAAGTATTGGGACACCCCTCCAAATAATTGCATTCAGGTGTTCCAATCCCCTCCATGGCCACAGGTGTATAGAATCAAGCACCCAGGCATGCAGACTGCTTCTACAAACATTTGTGAAAGAATGGGTCACTCTCAGGAGATCAGTGAATTTGAGCGTGGTACCGTGATAGGTTGCCATATGTGCAATAAGTCCATCTGTGAAAATTAAATATTCTATGATCAACTATTAGTGGTACTATAACAAAGTGGAAGCAACTGGGAACAACAGCAACTCAGCCACCAAGTGGTAGGCCTCGTAAAATGACAGACCGGGGTCAGTGCATGCTGAAACACACTTTACTGATCAGCTCCTGAACAGTTAATAGATAGGCCTAAACACATGGGGGAGTGTAGCATGGTTAGCCCTGTGTGACCATTAACCTCAAGACAATTCGTAACTGCTTAAAGTGGAACTAAAGGCAACACATTTTTTTTTTTCATTTTGATAAGCGTAAGTGAGCATTATAACCCCTGACAGTCTTTTTTGCCATGTGTCCCAGGGAGATTTCCCTTCACTTCCTATCCTGTAGACAAAACAAGAAGTGAGAGGAATCCCTCCAAAGTGTGGGAATCCCAGGGTGTCACCAGGGCCACCAGAACTAGTGTTCCCATTGGAAGATTTCCCCTCTATTACTTTTCTGATGTCACCTCAAAAATGTGGGATTTTCTTTTACTTTCACTGTTGATAACATTGGTTAATAGGACAAATAGAGAGGTTTAATCTCCGTAACAGGGGCACAGACAATAATAAAAAGTGACAGGGGTTCTAATCCCTATCCATTTTATCCAAAAGTTAAAAAAAAGTTTTGCCTTTGATTACACTTTAAGAAATTTTGGGGGTGCCAAATAGCAGATTGTAGAGGAGGAGCATGCTAAATGTGAGAAAAGATGCCTTATGCTGCCAATTGCCAACTCTGGGTATTGCTAAAATAGACCTGTAATCAATAGAACTGTAACTCCTTGGCGCTGAGCATATGCAAATATGCAGCCCCGTAAGACTGGGCTTTTTTCAGCGGGACTGCATATATGTGTATCTGTCTTTGTGCTAGGTGCACTCCCACCACAGAGACTGGGGTCTAACTGAGAGCCCCGGGTCCCGTACAAATGATCGAGACCCAGAACTCTCGATTCCGGGTCAGCCAATCACTATGATAACCTCTGATTGGTTATCACAGTGATTGCAGAGAAGTAAAAGACAACAGTGTGTAAAAAATATATATAATAATAAAAAAATAAAATAAAATAAAAATTCTAGAGGTTTGATCCAGGTCAGTGCCAAGGTTAGAGTTTGGGTCAAGATCAGGGTCAAAGGTCAAGGTCAGTATTTTTTTTTTGGGCATGATAATTATTGTCAGTGTATTTTAGGTAGGATAAAAACAAAAATGTACACTATTGTTTCTGGGCTGTACTACGGGTTCAAGCAACAACTAGCCTACACATATGTGGTATCGCTGTAATCGCCAGGAGCAGGAGAATTTGTTTGAGGGGGGGGTGTTCTTTGGTGGAAAGTTATGGTAGTAGCAAGAAATATACAGCTACATTTAAAAAAATGATTATTTGTTTTTATTATTTTGATAATAAAAACAAAATCAGGAGATATCCATTACCATTTACCACCAAATGAAATACCAATTTGTCCTGAAAAAAAAAAAAAGTTATAATCAACCTGGAAGCACAAAGTAGTTGTGATGATATGTATGGTTTTACCAACTCAAAGTTGCAAAAATGTGCTTAAATATTAATATTTGTTTTATCCTTAGGCGCAATGGGGTTAAGGAACATGTCATGAAAGCCTCCTTGTGATGCCCTCATGTAATAAGTTTAATATTACAGATTGTATTAATTGTTTATGAATTTTAAGAGAATCGAGGCTACATCATAAATTAGTACAGTAGTGCCATATCTAAGAGATTGCAAATTTGGATGCATCCTTTTATTATTATTATACAGGATTTATATAGCGCCAACAGTTTGCGCAGCGCTTTACAATATAAGGGAGACAGTACAATTACAATACATATCAGTACAGAAGGAATAGGAGGGCCCTGCTCATGGAGCTTACAATCTAAAGGAAGGGGGAGGTGATACAAAAGGTGATAGCTGCAGGGGATGATCTGGTGGAGGTTATTCAAGTACAGTTCTTAGGTGGAGGAGGGGTAGGCTTTGCTGAAGAAGTGAGTTTTCAAAGATCGCCTAAAGGCAGACAGGGTCTGAAGGACATGCTGTGGTAGGGAGTTCCAGAGGACGGGCTCTGGAGAAGTCCTGGAGGCGAGCGTGGGAGGAGGTTATCACCTCCTCCCATATCCTAGAGAGGAGGATATCATGGGAGGAGCAGAGTGGGCGATTTGGGCGGTATCTGTGGATGAGGTTGGCGATGTAGCTAGGGGCAGTGTTGTGGATGGCTTTGTAACCTGTGGTTAGTATTTTGAATTTTATACGTTGGGTTAGTGGAAGCCAGTGGAGGGATTGGCAGAGAGGGGCAGCAGTCGCTGATCGGTTGGTAAGGGGTATGAGTCTAGCAGCAGCATTCATAATAGACTGAAGGGGGATAGCCTGTGTAACGGTAGACCAGTGAGGAGGGAGTTGCAGTAATCGAGGCGGGATATAACCAAGGCGTGGATAAGTTGTTTTGTGATGTCATTGGTCAGGAAGGGGCAGATTTTGGAAATGTTCCGGAGGTTGAGGTGGCAGGATTTAGCCAGTGAGTGGATGTGGGGCCCAAAGGAGAGGTCAGAGTCTAGGATTACGCCTAGCACCCTGGCATGAGGGGAAGGACCAATGGTTGTGCTGTTGATCTTAATGGTAAAGTCGTGAGTGGGGGCCTGGGGAGGAGGAAATATTACAAGCTCAGTTTTTGAAAGATTGAGTTTAAGGTAGTGATGTTACATCCATGCTGATATGTCTCTTAGTAGATTTGTGATATGTGAGGAGATTGAGAGGGTGAGCTGGGGGAGAGGAGAGATAGATCTGGGTGTCATCAGCATAGAGGTGGTATTGGAAGCCATGGGAGGTTATCAGTTGGCCCAGGCAGGAGGTGTAGAGAGAGAAAAGGAGGGGCCCAAGAACAGAACCTTGGGGTACCCCAACAGAAAGAGGGAGCGGAGGAGGAGGAGTTGTATATGACACTGAAAGTGCGCTGAGAAAGGTAAGAGGAGAACCAGGAGAGAGCAGAGTCACGGAGGCCGATGGAGTGGAGTTTACTGAGGAGGAGCGGGTGGTCAACTGCGTCAAAGGCAGCGGAAAGATCAAGGAGTATGAGTATGGAGTAATGGTCTTTGGTTTTAGCAGTTAGTAGGTCATTAGTGAGTTTTAGTAGGGCAGTTTCTGTGGAATGTTGTGGCTGGAAGCCAGACTGTCGGTGATCAAGAAGGTTGTTGTCGGTGAGGTAGCAGTTCATACGGTTGTGAACAAGGTGCTCGAGAAGCTTGGAGGCAAACGGGAGCAGGGAGATGGGTCTTAAGTTATTCAAATAGGTGGGGTCCAGTGAGGGTTTTTTGAGGATGGGGGTAACCAGTGCATGTTTGAGTGGGGAGGGAAAGGTGCCCATGGAGAGTGAGAGGTTGAAGATGTGAGTTAGAGAGTTTAGGATAGAGCAGGAAGGAGGCTGCAACAGTCGTGAGGGGACAGGATCCAGGGGACAGGTGGTGAAGTGGGCCTTGGAAAGGAGTTCGGTAACTTCCTTGGTGGTAACAGGGTCGAAGGAGGAGAGTGTAGAGTTTGGTGTTGGGCCTGGTATGTTGGTTAGAGGAGGAAGCTTGACACTGGAGATCTCATCACGAATTGTGTCAATCTTCTTCTTGAAGTGACTGGCAATCTCCTGTGCAGTAAAATTTAATTTTATTAAATTTGTAATTCAGAAAGTTGAATACAATTAATTATCATTCGTAGTAGCTGTATTGTAATTTATATTCTAAACAGCAATTACCTGCAGTTCTATGTCTTATAATAAATAGCAAAAATGACCTCATGTATAGAAGAGCACACTGCATGATTTAGTCATAATAAATAAGCTTAGCTAAATGATATTTCTCACAGGCAAGTTAACTACATAATGACCTTTCACTCCAGTTTGTAGTTATGTGACAATTAACTTTTACATAGCCAATGGTTACATACATAATTACCCTTTCAATTTAGGTTCCATTATTGCACTTATGAAATAAAAATGCCACTAGCTATACTGGGCTAATTAAAAATGTAATTGCTAATAGAAAATCCTGGCTTTGCAATCATTTTGACTTTGGCAATCGGAAATTCTTTTTTAAAGTCATAACTACAGAACTGTAAATGACAGCAGATGTTTTATTATGTGTTTTGCCACCAGAGAATACAATTTAATTTTATTTTTTAAATGTTTAACTTCAAAATGCAAAGAAAAAATTTTGATTTCTTAAAGGAGTTTGAGCATTATAGTAGATCTAAACCTTATCATAAATATTTCAGGTAAGATTTGAATGATAAGGTAATTTCAAAAGTTTGTTTTTAATATTTTAAATATGCAGCTTTTATTAAAAAAAAATCTGTTAATATTGCTATGAAGGCCCTTGATGAGGTATGTGCCATTATAGAGTGACAACTGTCTCTCAGTTCCTGCATTGTCACCTTATTATGTATACACTACAAGCAGCCATGAACATCATATGTGCATGGATCACCACTGTCACTCTCAGAAGGCTAGTCCATAACAATAGTGTGCTGCCAACACTGGAAACGTACATGAATACAGAAAGTGTCTTGAAAAAGACGTGATGAGATAAACAACACTGAGAGGCAAAGGATGGAAAAAAAGTAAACAATATTTTATGAAAAAAAACATGGATAGTGTCATCTGGTTAGGATTGAATTTACTGAAACAATGAGAGAGGGAACCCTCACCTATCTTTGTAGACACAAGTGAGTAAAATATTATATTTTTTAAATGTCAGTGGTACTTGGTTCCATTTATCATTAATACACTATATTGCCAAAAGTATTGGTTGGCCTGCCTTTACACACACATGAACTTTAATGGCATCCCAGTCTTAGGCTGGCCATACATTATACAATTATCTGCAGATTTTCTGCCCAATTTCCTTTAGATTTACCTTCAACTATGTAGTGCAAGGGCCTGCCTAATTGGATACAACTGAAAGTGTTGTTTAGGTTTGTCCTCCTATTATATGGTTTTTGGTAAATCTAAACCAAAAATCTGCAGATAATTGTATAATGTATGGCCAGCCTTAGTGTGGTATTTGCATTAGTCCGTAGGTATAACAGGTATAACAGCTTCAACTCTTCTGGGAAGGCTGTCCACAAGGTTTAGGAGTGTGTCTATGGGAATATTTGACCATTCTTCCAGAAGCGCATTTGTGAGGTCAGGCACTGACATCAGATGAGAAGGCCTGGCTCGCAGTCTCCACTCTAATTCAACCCAAAGATGTTCTGTCAGGTTGTGATCAGGGCTCGGTATAGGCCAGTCAAGTTCCTCCACCGCAGACTTGCTCATCCATGTCTTTATGGATCTTGCTTTAAGTGCTGGTTATGTAGGAACAGGAGAGGGTCATCCGCAAACTGTTCCCACAAAGTTGGGAGCATGAAATTGTCCAAAATGTCATGGTATGCTGATGCCTTAAGAGTTCCCTTCACTGGAACTAATGGGCCAAGCCCAACCTCTGAAAAACAACCCCACACCATAATCCCCCCTCCACCAAACATTACACTTGCTTTAAAAATTTGCATCTGACACTTTGCATTGCACTTGGTGATGTAAGGCTTGGATGCAGCTGCTCAGCCATGGAAACCCATTCCATGAATCTCTACGCACTGTTGTTGTGCTAATTTGAAGGCAACATGAAGTTTGGAGGTCTTAAGTATTGACTCTGCAGACAGTTGGCAACTTCTGCACACTGTACGCTTCAGCATGCACTTACCCCGCTCTGTCATTTTTCGTGGCTGAGTTGGCTGTTCCCAGTTGCTTCCACTTTGTTATAATACCACTAACAGTTGACAGTGGAATATTTAGTAGCAAGGAAATTTCAGAGATGGACTTATTGCACAGGTGGCAATCTATCACAGTACAGTGCTTGAATTCACTGAGCTCCACAGAGTGACACATACTTTCACAAATGTTTGTAGAAGCAGTTTGCATGCCTGGGTGCTTGATTTCATACAGCTCTGGCCATGGAAGTGATTGGAACACCTGAAACCAATGATTTGGAGGGTATCCCAATACTTTTGGCAATATAGTGTATATGGTGCCAGAGCTGAAACTGAAACTTAGTTCTGTTAAAAATGTATATATTAGATATAATTGCCATATAGCCATGCAATAAATATGTTCTGGATTTGGAAATTAACTCTTAAAGCTTCAGTATTAGCAAAAGTGTGTGTGTTCTTCTAACCTTTAATAAGGTCAATATTTACTAGATAGGCTAATAGCCAATGAATGCCTACCCATCACTTATGTATTAGGTAACTTTACTCCTGTAATAATTTCTGGTAGAAATAAGCAATGACTCATAAAATAGTGTATTTGTCAAAACAGGGAAACATTACAAATATTTCTTAATAATGTATGAAGGCAAGCTGAGTCGTACACTGGTAAGCAGACATGGTAGGTCAAGGCTCAGGAAAACCAGGAACTAACCGAAGACCACTCAGCAATCCATCCATGTCAGAGTGCAGCTTAAATAGGTCATTTGGTGCTAGTGCTCATGTGTGTGTGTGCGCATGCGCATATGGTTTCTGCAGATGCTAATACGTTTGTGCAAGTGTGACAATGTGTCAGAGCCTGGGCCTTCTGCGGTGAGAGACAGTGTTTCTTATCACTGAGCTACCTGGGATGCTGGACAACACTCTGCCTGATCTATTGGATAATCCTGCCTTGTGCCTTTTTTCTCTTGAACTTTGAACTCCTTGCTCCTCCCATGAACTTCCTATAATAGCCATGTCCATGCACTTCCTCCTTGCCAGATTATTGTGCCTTCCAGCCAATATCCTGCTTCTCTGTCCTGCTGCCATCTACATCTTCGCTACCGACCTCTGGCTTGTTACTGACTACGATTTTGCCTCATCCTATCTACTACGATTTGGGACCGACCCTTGGCTTGTGACTGACTCCGCTTCTGTCTTATCCCTGAACTGATTGATCCGCTATTGGTTTCCAGTTTCCCCTTTCCCTGGTGGGGTGATCCTGAGACTGCGACCTGGTATTCACACGCAGCCAAATCCATCTCCACCATTAGGAGCTCTGGTGAAGACCGGTGAACACTTAGACCCCGCACCTCAGGTGAGCCTGTGTCATTCCCAGGGTGATCCGCTGGTGTACCAATCCTGCTGGTTTCAGGTAAGCCTTACACTGCTGTAGCAACTGGTCTCTGAAGCTTTTGCTCAGAATTATTAAGTACGAGCATGTGCCAGCATTCTCCTTCCAACATGTACTGAGGTTTTCTTATATACTCTTATGTTCTCACTTACAATGCTGGCTCATTATGGCCACTAGATGGAGCTGACTATCATAGGAAATAAGTATGCTCCTGATCCCCATCTAGTGGCTATAAGGTAGTATTTTCCCCATTCACACATTCAAATTGTAGAGAATATAGCGATGCATCATTTAATCTTGCTCCATGCACAGAAAGAATATGAAGTTTTGCAGAATATGAAGTTTTGCAGCTTTACAAATTTTTTTATAACTACATACCTAAGAGATACAGTTTATTTGTTAACCTAAGTTAATGACGATACAAGCCTACTGTATGACTTAGATCCCTTCTCCAGGCTTTGTACAACTGTATAAGTCACCCTGTAACCTTGCATCTTTCACATTGTGCGTTAATTGATGGCTAACATCTTGCAATATACTACTACTGCTACACTATTTTATTTCTAAAATAGTATTATATTATATTTATGCCTGTAACACCACTGTCACAACAGCTTGGTTCCTTCAGAGTTGATAAGAAAGAGACTTTTCTGATTTTTTTCAGAATATGAGACATACGGGCACATTTGCAGTAACATGACAACTGGTGCTACTGGTGAGCTGGTGAGGAGTGGCATAGAATTACATTGTTTCCATTTTCTGTGGTATGGGTGAATGGGTAGCAGAGCCTATTGACAGGAGGAAGAGTGCAGTAAGAATCTAAATTCACTGGCTTCTTTATTAGGTACACCTATTCAGATATTTGGTAACACAAATTGCTAATCAGTCAATCACATCGCAGCAACTCAATTCATTTAGGCATCTAGATATGGTGAAGACTTGCCAAAGTTCAAACCGAGCATCAGTATGGGGAAGAAAGGGGATTTAAGTGACTTTGAATGTGGCATTGTTAGTGCAAGATGGGCTAGTCTGAGTGTTTCAAAAAACTGCTGATCTACTGGGATTTTCATGCACAACCACCTCTAGGGTTTACAGAGAATGGTCCAAAAAAGAGAATTATATCCAGTGAGCTGCAGTTGTGTGGACGAAAATGCCTTGTTGATGTCAGAGATAAGAGGAAATGGACAGATTGGTTTGAGATGATAGAAAGGCAACAGTACCTCAAATAACCACTCGTTTCAACCAAGGTATGCAGAATACAATCTCTGAAAGCACAACACGTCCAACCTTGAAGCAGATGGGCTACAGCAGCAGAAGACCACACCAGGTGCCACTCCTGTCAGCTAATAACAGGAAACACAGGCTACAAAACGCATAGGCTCATCGAAATTGGACAAAAAAAGATTGGAAAAACATTGCCTGGTCTGATGAGTCTCGATTTCAGCTGTGATATTCAGGTGGTAGGGTCGGAATTTGGCATAAACAACATGAAAATATGGATCCATCCTGTCTTGTATCAACAGTTCAGGCTGCTGGTGGTGGTGTAACGGTGTGGGGGATATTTTCTTGGCACACTTTGGGCCCCTTAGTACCAATTGAGCATTGGTTAAACACCACGGCCTACCTGAGTTTTGTTGCTGACCATGTCCATCCCTTTATGACTACAGTGTACCCATCTGATGGCTGCTTCCAGCAGGATAATGCACCATGTCACAAAGCTCAAATCATCTCAAACTGGTTTCTTGAACATGGCAATGAGATCACTGTACTCCAATGGCCTCCACAGTCAGCAGATCTCAATCCAATAGAGCACCTTTGGGATGTGGTGGAAGGGGAGATTTGGATCATGAATGTGCAGCCAACAAATGTGCAGCAACTGCATGATGCTATCCTGTCAATATGGACCAAAATCTCTAAGGAATGTTTCCAACACCTTGTTGAATCTATGCCATGGAGAATGCAGGCAGTTCTGAAGGCAAAAGGGCGCCCAGAGCGGTACTAGCAAGGTGTACCTAAAGTGGTCAATGAGTGTATATTCAGCTCTGATGCTGGAGCTTTAGCACCCCCCCCAGTGGTTCCAGGTTCCTATTGGGTGTTTTAATGAGAGAGGAGCTCTATTAGACAGGATGATGATAGTGGGCATGCCCACTCTCAGTGACTATTAGTGTAAAGCATAAATTATACATATAGTAGCCACACAGTGTCATTGGTTACTAGGACCCAGCCACCACCAGTATCCTAGAGACCACAAATCTTGGAAAATGCTGATTTGTTTAAAATAGTAAAAACCGTGATCATCATAGTTGCTTAGGTCATGTTTGTGCAGGTGGGGTGCCATTGATCGTGATTGATGCTGATTCTACATCTCTGAGCCACATGATTGATGATGGATTTACACTGTGGGACATGGTTTTGATGTTTTTTGTCAAAATGTGTTTATTTGCATTCCTCTTTTGTGTAGAGGAGGGGGGGGGAATATCTGGAGGCCCCTTATTTTAACCGTTTCCCACCCGGACACTGTATATAAATGGCTGGGCAGCTTCCTCCTCATTCTGACTGAACGTACGTCGGAACCTGTTCCTTGCATGGCATCCATGTGATTCTGTGATGGCTGTGTTCCTCAGACACAACACATCACAGATCGGGACATGGGCGCTGTGACTAGCCTTCCTGATCATGTCCAATCACAGCCATTACGCAATGTAAACAGAGACACATGTCTCTGCAGCAGCCAGGGGCGGACTGACAACTCATGGGGCCCCTGGGCAATAGGGGATCATGGGGCCCCTGTGTCCTTGCCCAAACTCAAAAAGTCTATGGAAAAGGCACCAGGGGCATCTTATGGGGCCCCCTACTGACCCCGGGCCCTTGGGCAGTGCCCGAGTTTCCAAATGGTCAGTCCGCCCCTGGCAGCAGCTCTCCCACTTAGGGAGAGCTCAGTGTGTGTGTGTGTATGTGTGTGGGGGGGGGGGGGTCACTGCAGCCTGTCAGATCTGTGTGTAGCTGACGATTTTACTGCTCAGCTACATACAGATCAGTCGGTGCAGCCATCCCACACAGTAAGCCAAGCATGATCTGTCCCTGTCCAAGTGTCCCATAAACATCTGTACCAGTGTCACATCAATGTCTGTACCAATGCACCAGTGCACAAAACATCTGCAACAGGGTACTAGTGTCTTATCAACGTCTGTCACAATCTACCAGCATCACATCAATATCTGTCCCAGTGTACCAGTACTCAAAAACTTCTGCAATACTGCTCCATTGCAACATCAATATCTCTATGTCCCATTGAAACATCAACATCTGTCCCTAGTGGACTGTCAATACCTGTGGGTGTCCACCGGTGGACGATCAACATCTGCCACAGTGCACAAGTGCACAAAACATCTGTCAGTGTACCAGTGTCCCAGCAACATCTGTCACACCGATCTTGGTGTGATCAGATGCTTTTAGGGCAGAGGAGAGATCTGGGGCCTAACAGACCCCTAATCTCTCCATAAAGAGTACCTATCATTGCCTATCACTGTCACAAGTGTTTTCATTCCTTGTTTAACAGTAAAAGTGATAAAAATTTAAAGAAACAGTGAAAAAAATTGAGCCAATAAATAAATAATTTAAGGTGCCCCATCCCCCCAGGCTCATGTGCAAAGGCAAATGCAAAACGTAAACGGCAATCACACCACACATGTGACATATTGCTGCAAACGGCAGAGCAAGAGCAATAATTCTAGCACCAGACCTCTTCTGTAACTCTAAACTGGTAACCTGTAAAGCTTATAAAGCGTCAGCAATGGAGAATTTTAAATACAGAAGTTGGCGTCATTTCACAAGCATGTGCAATTTTAAAGCATGACATGTTTGATATCTATTTACTCAGCGCAACACCATATTTTATATTTTACAAAGAAATTGGGTATTATATTGTGTTTG